TCTACATTCCTTTGTGTTTTGCTGGACATACACTCATCCACAACCGACCGTCGCCCTTCGCTCATTTCAACAATACAAGTCCACATTCAACATGGACCTTTATCGAGCTACATTCGCTGGATCGCTAGTGCTCAATGCACTTGCTTTCTACCAGTCGCACCGCTCACGCAAGGCGGCCGTCGTAGAGACTGCGACTACGGAAAAGAAAGACGAGCATCAACATGTAGAGCCGGATCTAGAGGGCTTGAGCAAGCTGAAGAAGCGCTTCTTCCCTATTTATTTGCTCGTCAATGCCGCGGACTGGCTCCAAGGGCCGTACATATATCCTATTTACAAGGGTATGTTGGACGAACTACTGTTCTACAGACTGACCGCTAACGGATATGTAGATGAGAAAGGACTCTCGGAAGAAACAGTCGCATTCCTATTCCTTACTGGGTTCATCGCCGCCGGCATCTCCGCATCTTTCGTAGGCGCACTCGCAGACCGATATGGGCGCAAGACAGCATGCTTGGGTTACTGCGCCCTTTACTCTCTGTCCTGCGCCACTCTCCTTACCAACAACATCTACGTTCTCTTCTTCGGTCGCATCCTCGGCGGTGTTTGCGGTACCGTCCTTTGGAGCGTCTTCGAAAGCTGGCTAGTTGCTGAGTTCAACCATCTCATGCTGCCCGATGGTGAACCGCACCTCAGCGCGATATTCAGCACGATGACCACGTCCAACACATGTGTAGCCATTGGTGCGGGTATCTTCGCTGAGTGGGCAGTCAGGATGGCAGGCACCGCAAAGGCGCCGTTCATGGCCTCCATTGCGTGCTTGAGCCTGTCCTTCCTTGCCATCTCGAACTTCTGGGGAGAGAACTACGGTTCAAGCAGTCGGAGAGCATCAGAGACTGAGGGGCTGCTCCAGCAGGAAGAGGCCACCCCAGCTCCTCCAGCTACTTCTGCTCTCCGGACTATTCTACGTGGTACGTTGAAGCCTCGTTACCTGAGATTGCTTTATTAATTGACATTTAGATCGCAACATCATGATGCTTGCGTTGGTCTCAGGATTCTTCGAAGGATCTCTGTTCCTATTTATCTTCTTCAAGTTTCCGGCGCTGAAGCTCAGTCACAAGTTGGCGGGCTCAACAGATGGTGAGCAGCCTTCTATCCACTCTATGCAAGCACAACCAGGCTAACACCAACCAGAACTGCCATTTGGTCTCATCTTCGCCATCTTGATGTGTTCGATGATGTTTGGTTCGCTCCTTTACAAACATCTCTCCACATCTGCCTCACCTGTGCCAGCACAAAAGATGCTGACAGGCATCCTCGCAGTCTCATCCGCCTGCTTCTTTGTTCCTGGGCATTTCCGGGACGAGCGCGTCACGCTATGGTGCTTCTGCATATTTGAGCTGTGCTGCGGAGTTTACTACCCCGCAATGGGCTCTTTGAAGAGCAAGCTCGTCGAGGACGGCTCAAGGGCCAGCATTTACGGCATTCTTCGCATTCCGCTCAACGTTTTCGTTGTGCTTGCTTTGAGCACTACGAAAGAAGGTAAGCATCGCCGCTTTGTGTGGGACAAGAGGCCTAAAACTAACAATGAGTCCAGGCGAAGCGCATCGCGACACCGTATTTACCACGTGCAGCGTGCTCTTGGTGGCGGCTGCCATCGTCGTTCACAAGACCCTCACATGATCTCATTACAGTTTCCACTTTCCTTTTCTGTCCCCCTGCATGGCACTAAAACTAAACATAACCTCGGGAGTACGCATCCATCATCAGAAAGCCTCGCGCGAACCGGAGCAACATCCAAGATAGTCGCATCGCGAAATAGCGATTTACATGTATTATACCCACAATTCCATTGATAGATACCATTGATCCTATGACATCATGCTTGCGACGCGTCTGGAGTGTGCGTCTTGAAACGCGTGCGCCGTGCCTCAGCTGCAGGAGCAGCAAGACAAAGACACGGACGAAACAACCGCCCATGTTGATCAATCGACCCACATCTGCCCCGCCGCCTCATCGTCCGCCGTGCGGCTAGTCATCCTCCCCGTCGTCCACTAGTCGCAGTGGTATCCTGACTGGTGCGAAGATAGCGGCGTGCGGCTTGAGCGGGGTTTCGTAACATCTAGCCCGTACGGGTCTTGGATGTTCTTGTTCGATCAATGCTAAATCTGTAACGGGGGTCTACCTGATGTTTGGTTGTGATAAGCGCTCGGCAGATGTACACGTAACACTGTTGGCCTTTCCGCTGTTCTTGTTTCGCGTATCCTTGGCATATCTAAAGGACCGATGTCCACCATGCCGCCAGACTAGGAGTCAAGTTGTCTGGGGCCTACTTGTCGTGTATCTTCAAACCCTTGGCTTCACTATTGTCTCCTCCTTCTTTCACTCTTCTTTCTCTCTTTGTGTACGCTTGACGCGATTGTTACCTCCACCGATTCAACTCGGAGGTCACACATCACGGTCGTTCCTTCGACTCAACTCTGCCCACCAATCCCACGTCACTCTTTTCCACCTGCAAAGATGTTCAGGTCTTTCGGTGGTAGGTTCAACTTCTTCGTTGTCCTTTGAACACGTGCTAACACAACGTACAGCCCGCATATTCGCTGGAATATTCGTCGTCGTTTTCCTAATCGTCATTTTTCATAATGAAGAATCCGCTGGCACGGCACTACTTCCTTACCTCCCCGTCCTCCCATCAACAGGGTCCTCGCAACCCTCCTCCATCCTGCAAGCATGGATAAAAGACCGATCAGCGCTCTCGGAAAAGTCGTGGAAGAAGAGCGTTGAGCTCCGAGACCAGATGGCCAAGTCGCATCCGGACAACCCGAAGATTCCATTCTTCCCAATGGACTTCCTCAAATACCCCTTCACAATCTGGGACTTCTTCCCACCAACATGGACATGCCCCCACGACATCCAGCGCGTCGGCAGACTCGGTGACGGAGGAAAATGGGTATGCGGAATGAACATCTACGAGAGTCTCCCCGCACCCAAGTCCGCTTCCGCTACCATCGGATCGCAAGAACCCCTCGTGGACGCGCAAGATGGCCTGGTCATGTACAGTTTCGGTATCAACGGCGAGTCCTCCTTCGAAGCTGAGATGCTCGAGCGCGTCCCCAGCGCCCGCATCTGGGGCTACGACTTCTCAGTCGACTCATGGGGCCCCCAAATCGCCGAGAAGCATCGCCACCGCACCTTCTTCAAGAAGGTCGGCCTAGGCAAAGAGGACAAGCATGAATCCGACCCGCCATTCTGGACCCTACCCGCCTTGATGAAGCAGAACAACCACACCTACATCGATATCCTGAAAATTGATATCGAAGGCAGCGAGTACGACGCGCTAGACACGATGATGAATGCTTTCGACAACATGAAGACCGCATCTGGAAAATCTGTCCTGCCCATCGGCCAGGTCATGATCGAACTGCATCTCGGCGACGGCATCAATCTCGATAACGCGGGCGGCGGTGGCAGCATAGACTTTGGCCGCTTCAGGTCATGGTGGGAAAGGCTCGAGCGCATGGGTATGCGACCCGTGTGGATGGAGATCAACCTATTTGCTGTTACCCTGGGTAAGAGCAAGGCGAACCCGAGATGTACGGAGTACGTCTGGGTCAATGCCAAAGATCAGCGAAGTGTTCTTTGGAATGTATAAATAGCATCTGCTTCGGCAGCAGGATGAGCGGCGTTTGGAGCTTGACTCCGGCATCATAGATATCACGTTCAGCCAATTCATCCTCATTATTTTCTTTGACGATACGTGTTCTTAATTGCGGCGTAGGTTGCTTGTGATGTGGTTGTACATTCCTTGAAAACGCCGAGCTGTCGAACTGCCGTGCCCGCGGGCGACGCTGATGTCAGATGGAGACTTGTCTGAATGCGATCTAGCGTTTGGCTCTCCCAGCCGCGCCGCTCTCCCAGTGCCACTTCAACATCTTTCCATTGCGAACAATCCCCAAGACAAACAAAGACACATGTCATTATGCGAACACAAGTCCGCTCCGCCCCATGCAAGACTTCCAAGCCCTAGCAAGCCTTGTCGCAAGCCTCCCACCAGCGCCTCACATCCAGCGCCCACCATGCCCGGGCAGCTAACGTTTCGGCGCCGAACGCCGTGCGCGTTACAAAACCCAGCCTCGCAATCAACCCGAGATCCTAAGCATTTGACCCGAGTAATGCTATGCAACCGGTGTTGTTAATATTGTGGTTCTGCGGATCCGCTGACGATGCGGTTGAAAGCTACCCTCCTGCGGAAATTGGATGATCGCAATCAAGAGAGGGGTGTTGATACCGCGGTTGGAACTAAGCCGCGATTAGACTTCCCCATGGGGCCGCATCTTGAGCCGTCGCCGCCTTGTCGAGATCAAGATCTAATATCCGAGGAGAGACCGGCGGTAAGCCCTAGACATGGAGGCTGGGAAGTGTCGAACTCCCTGCGCATTTCACCACATGAGCTCCGCTGAGTTGAGGGTGCATGGATGTCTATTACTGATGCGCAATCTGGACCTTGACGACTCGTCTGAAACCACGCCTATCTGCGCGTCGTGTGTCTGAAGCGGCGCCAAGCGCCGAGACATTGACAACCTACCGCTTCTAGAAGTCTGACTGCCCGGGGAGAAGAAGGAGGTTCGCATCATTGAATTGTGAAGACTGTGCAAAGACGGCGTTCCAAACGATCTTCAAACATGAGGATATATCTTCGTTCGAAGAGATAGTTATCGAGGCTTTCGCGAAGACAACACCAGAGTAGACCGCTTTTGTTCGAAGCGGGCCGGGCCGAACGCCGTTGGGAAGGGAACATGCGTGCTACAGAGACAAGGCACACTGAGGCCTATAACCTGAGGTGAACCAGATGTGTCACCTTCCTCATGTGTAAGTCACGAATGCAAAGGCCGCCCACAAGTACGCCGCGTCCCCATGAAGCACAAGAGGAAGTGCAAGCACATTTTGTGCGTATAGGTATATTGAGACCTAATCTCCATTCTCGTGATCATGACCCGTACCTACTCACCACTACCTAGTCCACTCCCGAAAATCTTGTCTATCCTGGTAGCTCTTTCCCATACCACCTCTCCCCTTCCGTCTTCTCCACCCTTCTTCTTGAAATACAGTATGCGATGCTGAGGTATGAACTCCTCATCCGTCTGCTCCGTCTTCCATTTCTCCAGACCAGTTTCCTTCGCGCCCAAAAAGCGGTCTTCATATCCGATAATGTAATCGCTCGGATCAAGACTCGGGTCCCAGCGAAGACGGTTGAGAACATCGGATGCAGGACGTAGTTTTGTTCTCGACAAAGGTGCTGAGGTGGGCTTGGGGCGCTGTGGTATGGTACGCTGAGGCTTGGTCTCATCGGCGTCTTCAAGGTCTTCGTCGATATCTTCTTCGTCGTCCGAGTCGGAATCTATGTCCATCGCGTAGACACCCCATTCTCGATCGTCCAGTCGCAAACCTTTGACCTCGCTAGATCTTACTAGCGAAGCATCGATCCATGAAGTGCTTGCGTCGAAGTTCTTTTCGTCGGTTCGCAGCTGCGTCAAAAAACGGTCCAGTACCTTTTCCAGAGCTTGCTTGGCGACTTGCTTGTCGTCCGCGTTATGTGCTGAGACGGCTTTCTCGGATTTCGAGATGCCGATCAGGTAACAGCCTTGGTACTCTTTGCCTTCGCCCACGTCGAAAGAACTGCTGTCGACGAAGCGAGCTGGCCAGATTTGTACTTCCGACTTGGGTATGGCTTTGTGGATGTCTATCAGGATTAGTAAATGATTGCGCGATAGATCTCTGGAAGAAGCGGCCTACCTATGACGAGCGAGATGCACCGAGACTCAACCCAACCGACTAGGCTCTTGCCCTTCGCCAATGTACGACCCCAAAACTGGATGTCGACCTTGACGAAGTTGTTGTAGTTGCGGAGGAACTCTGCAGCTCCATGAGGGAGTTGCGACTCTGGTTCTGGAGCAGATGGTGCGCCGAAGAACGCCTCCCATGTCATTCCCGGCTCGCAAAGCTGCTTCTCGGCGGTCTTGAATGCCTTGACGAGCAGCTGCAGGCCGGGAACCGTAGCCGTATGAGCGATATTCGAGTTGGGTGCGTGGTAACCCAACACCACCATCGGCTCTCTTGCGCTGCGATAATAACGTGGCCTCTTCTTGTGGAAGATGGCATCGTAGACTATATCGTTTGTCCAATCAAACTGAGCGTAGTGATGGAAGAAACTCGCAATGATATCCGCAGCCGTAACTGGGCCGGTATCATGCCCAAGTCTTTTGCAGACCCATGAGAGCATGAGCGTGATGTGTACGCCTCCAAGGAACCCGAACTTCGCACTATACATGCCGCGCTGGACAGCCCATAGCTTGATGGAACGATAAGCTAGGCGGAATGCAGATAGTGAAGGCAGTGTACGTTGAATGTATAGCAAATCGCGGTAAGGCTTGAGCTTGCGGAGTGAGAGAATAGAAAGGTTGAAGATGGGATCGGATGCCGGGATGTTCCGGAACTCATGCCACCTAGTTGCTGAATGTTAGCGCTGCTATATCGCAATGATTTCATGAGACTCACCTCTCAATGACCTGGGGCGCAGGACAATACTGCAGATCCATGAATATGCCGTTGACGGACAGTTCGAGCATGGTGCCGGTGCTGGCCTCAACCTTCCGCAAGATCCTGACACCTTTGACTTCTGCTTTGACAAGTCGTTGTCGAGCGAGCCGGAAGAAGGTCTTAGAGCTAATGGTGCCGATACAAAGGCAGTCGATGTCCGAGTCTGCAGTCCATACACCCAGGGCGTACGAGCCAACTGGCACTATAACCAATGGTATCTCAGGTTGCGCTGGATCTCCATCGTCTGATGTACCCAGTAGTATGTGCTGGAGGCTTGCAAGTGCGTCGCGCCGATTGCTCGCTTGATCTTCGTTCGGGAACATGCCGTGGATCTCGAGCACTGAAACGAGGCTCGTGGTCTCTGCCAAAGTTTCGTCCACTCGCTTATGTTCCACGGCAGGCTGATTTGAGATGGCTGCTTCATTTCCGGTGCTCGCTACTGCTTCGTTTACTCTAATCTTCGCTCTCACTCCATAGTGGTCACTGGCTGCGACCTGTGCACCGTCGATCATCTCCGGAACGCCGAAATGGTTGAAGCGTTCTATGCGAAGTGAACCCTGCGACCGAAATAGTATCCTATCGTAACGCTGTGGCCGATCGTGAGAAGTCGTAGTCGTTCCTGCGGCAAGTCGGTTGTTCTGGGGATCGAATGTCGCACCCTCTTCGCCCTCGAACAAATCACCAGATCCAGTTGTACTCGTTTCGTCCAATCCTTCAACACGGGCGACAGACCAGGCATCAGAGAGCCCAGCTTCCCGAATCTCGGCCTCAACTGTTGCTAACAGGGATACGGTCTCGCTGGATATGGACTGGTCCTTGACGGAGGTCTCAATGGTGTAAGTCGACGTGACTAGGTTAAAATCTCCTGCGATGACCCATGGCTCGCTTTCGTAGTGCCGTTCTAGGTATCGTGTCAGAGTTCCCATCTGAGCTTTCTTAGTAGCGACTGAGCCATCAGTAAGACCAGCAGTCAAATGAACTCCAGCGACGACTAAGCTCCCCAAGCCCCTAGTGCTAGATGCCGTAACGCCTCTCAATCGCGCAACGAGAGCACTCTTGTGTTTGTGATGGAAGGGTACCGAATGCCAGCTAAAAGGATAGCGGCTCAGAATGACGACGTTCCGTAGACTGGGGAGAGGACCTAGATCGTTTTGGCAAGGCGGGCCATGCGAAACAAATGGGTATATGTGTGCAATGTCCTGACGAGTGAAGAGGAGATAGTCAAGAAAGTCGTCGGAGACCTCTTGCAGTACTAATACGTCGGCCTTCGCTTGTTCGGATAGGATGGTGTCCACAATCAACGGGTCGCGGTCATGGTCCGGCGGATACTCGGTGTCTACCAAGACGTTGTAACTCGAGACAGTAATTTCCTTCACTTCAGCCTCGTTCTGGCTCTCGCATGTGTGCGGCGACCATCTGGATTCTTTGGGGTCGAAGCAGAGAGCTGGTTGGTCGCGCACCTCGTAATCCTCAAGTAAAGATTCTTGCTGAGTCTCATCACCATCCAGTCGGGGTGCAGCCGGATTCGAGGTGGACAGTTTCACCCAGTAGTCTGGAATGTGAGGTCTCCAAACATCGCCTGGACCCCCAATATCGATAGTTCCATACAACCGCATGTAATCAGTTGACAGCGCGCCAGTCGTTCTCTCACGACTAAGGATAGCGAGCGTGCCGACGCGGAAGTGTATGTTTGGTAATCTTTGAGCCTTGCGTAGGAGGTATGACTGCGAGAGTAGAGGATTACCCTGTGTTTGACCGATGGTGAGGTGGGGAGTAAATCGAGAAGGACCTTGGCCTAATGCTTGCAGTACAGTCGAACGCAGCGAAACGAGAGGCGAGTCTTCCTCACCACGGTCATCGGTACCAAGAAATACGGTGAAGTTGTTCTTTTGCACGAAACCACCGGCTTGAACCAGTTCTACATCGATGGGTGTCTCTTGGGTTAAATGCTGTGCCAAGTACCCTTGAATTTGCTCCTGTGCTTTTGGAAGCTGCTCTGGTGCAACGAAAGGGTACACGAGGTTGATGTGAGGTGGCCACTAAAAGGTTCAAAACCCCAGTCAATGTGTGCTTTCTCTGAATCCAGAACGGGTTTCACTCACCTTCCCATAGGCCTTGTCGTAAAGTTCCCGTAGCTGATCTACGTGACCGCATTGAGAAGCGGGTGGGATGATGCACAACGCTGTATCGTATGAAGTCGTTGATATCCGCGCTGGAGGAGAAGTATAGTCGGTAGCCGCCATGTCTAAAAGCAGAACGAGATGCAGAGAAGACGATTGAAAGGGGTATGTGGAGTGCGTCAGAAAGGACTCTGATGTCTAATAGTTCTGATCTCTCTTAAGTGTACAGCGATCTTTATGTCTTGTACAAGAGACACGCTCAAACACTTGCCTCCACTCCGTGAATCAGCATGCTTCCCAATCAGGCGATACATATGACTCCGGGGGCTGTTGAGCCTCATGCAGGAGGCGCAGGCAGAGTGAGCAAAAGTGAGTCATTCGCGCTAACCAAAAGCAAGCGGTCTCTGGCTTCAGGGCTGGGTGCGATGTTGCGAGAACGCGTGCAGTCGAACCTGTAATGCGATGGTATGTGTAACAGCATTGAGCGCACCGCAATGTGACTCAAACAAAGTCGGGCCTGTTCTCATGCAATGGCGAGTTGATGGCTGTGTGGGAGAGCTCCCATCGGCCCGAGGCTCAAGTGGGGTCAACCGCGCTGCGCCTCAGGGCTGCGGTACCTACCTGCGCAGGCATCGCGAACAACCCATCCAACCTTCACTCCCACAACCTTGTTGCGGCCTCTACCAGGAAGCAGCTATGGTCGGCTTTCTAGATCTACCGAGCGAAATGGTCTTCAACATCATCGACCTTGTGCTCTCGTCACCTACTGTTTTACCGAAGAATGGCACGCGTCATCGGCCCAGCTATCCAACTGGCATACGCAATCTTTGCTGTGTACCGAGCCTGGATTATTTGAAGGATTCAGGAGTTTCAAACCTTCTACTAACCAGTCAACGAATGTATCGCGAGACCAAAGAATATCTCTCAAAAGCGCCGCGGAACTTCGAGGTCGATATCGCAGTTATTGACGACCACTGGTTCTGGCCGACACGGCGCGTTATTCCAGTGCGCGAGCTTGAAGGAACCATCGAGAGATTAGACGTCAACATAATCCCGTGCTGTACCACGGATGGACGGCATCTGCAGACGGACTGGGATCTCGAAGGCCGGCATCCAGCTGACTTGTCCACTTTGTGGCTGCTTCTTGCCGGAGGACTGTCGTTCCCGTTGGCTCGCTTCTTACTCGATGATAGTCCGAAAAGACATCGATCACAAGTTTTCCGGGGTTTGGAAACATGGGTCGACCCACTCTTGGACGAGCACTTAGATGATGGCCGGAACATACCTGTTACTCGGATTGATACTGTGACTATCAATATTGATACGTGGAGGTATGGAAACGGCAACAAAGAGATCGGTCTTGCAGAAATACCTTTCCGCAAGATTGAAGGTCTGGCACATCTGGACTTTAAGGAGCTGTACCCAATGGACTTCGCAAAGTCAGAAATCTACCTTCGCGAATTGATCAGATACATCGATGAGCGACTGTATGGTACGGGGAAAGTAGCGAAAAAGATCGGAAAGATGCAATTTTACCTTGATGGGAAGTTATCAAGAGAATTGAATACAGTGGTATGACACAACGGCCAAGCTGTACCGCAAGGCGACGCTATGTGGAACTCACAACCCCTCCTGAACGCAAACACCAGCAATGCCCAGCCAATCAGATCAACCCAACTAGCTTATCTTCGACGTCGTGGTTACGGCCTCTTCACCCGACACATAACTATTACTCGGCATACAAAGCCGCGTTGAGGTGGCGCAAATTGCGTATAGAACACTCCATTCAAGGCAAGAGCTGGGCATCTACCTCCACGGAGTATATTCGAAAAAGCTAATAAGGCTACATTGCCTCGACGTTTCACAAAATCGTGTTTCTGAAGCATAGTAGACTTTACCGTACCTGTTCAGTTTATTCCTCATATGACGTGGAAACTGCCTTCACTGCATCCATTCGAATGTCAATTCAGAGCCAGAGAAATTGAGGAGGGGATCGTGGAGGTCTTGGGAAGAGTTGGATCTGAAGTCACCAACGACGAACATGACAAGACGATGGAACTAGGATGCATACCAAATGTTTGACGGTATCAGGCGCAAGGCTTCACTCGCCATCGGGACAGCACCAAATAGTGCAGTGCTGGCATTTGGATCCGAACGCGAGTAGCGCTCAACAAGTTTGGCAGGGCGAGCATGCAGCAGTTCGTCGCACAACCGCTTCTGGACGCATTGCGTATGGATCAAGGAGCGTATTCTGTTCACCCTATGCTCTCGCAATCTGGTTTTCGTGAGATAATCGGTTAACGGAACCTTAGCTTGCCTATAGCTTGAAGCCACAGAAACAAGCTTCACCGCGATCGCCTCTAAAAAGCAAGCGCCCGCGAATGTGGCTCGTCATTCTCCGATGATCAGCTCAGGAATCGAGCGATTCGGCAGCCACGACGTATATGCCATTGGAGATCTACGAGGCTGTGACGCGCATGGAACTGGTTTCCCATGCATGGGATTTCCAAATCACGTTCAGGAAAAAGCATAGGGATTTTCAGTGACGTACTTGCCTGCAACAGGTTAGCACCGCGTTAGCAGTGTCACGTGCGTTGATTCTCAGCCACCAATCACGCCTGTATCGTGGCTTGTCGTTCAAAGCTATCCAATCTCATGATGCGCCGAGAAAGCGCAAAGGCAACATGGCACTGCCGTGCATCAAGCCTAAGCAAAATCTCCGCGGTTCCAGGTTTAATTTGGATGCGGGGGGGTGGTACCGAAGCTGACGGTGACGGTGAGTGACGACCGTGTCAAACGGGCAAGAGGGGCCTGGTCTTTGTGTCACATCGCTGTCACCCCATCCTCAGAGCTATAAGATAGTACATCTTCGCGCTGCCCTCATCTTCAGCATTCAGCAGAATTCACCAATCCATCAATACCATCCACGTCGACACCCAGCATATCAACATGGTGCACGCCCAGAAGCCCATTGACGGTCCGGTCGACTACCCAGTCACCGACAAGCGCGAGCAAACAGGTCTTCTCACGCGTCAGTAACTACCCATGAACTGGATGTGAGACGAATACTGACTGCGTACACCCATCTTTAGGCTTCGTGCCGGACAAGCTCAAGAACACTTCCTTCTACCGTTGGTTCTTACGTTTCACACGCCTCCTACAATTCATCAGCTCTGTGGTCTCACTCGGCATCTTTTCTCAACGCTTATATAAGGTGTATCGCCTTGTCAACAGCGTCAAGACCTATCGCGGCGTCAACGGCAGCTATGGTGCAGTTGAGGGCATTCTTGCCGCCGCCGTGCTGTATACCTTGATCACGATCCTACTTTCTTGCATCAAGAAGTCAGCGAACCCCGGCGGTCGAGTACTCCGATGGGTCTGGGTACTTCTCGACCTTGCATTTGTTGGAGCATTCATCGCAGTGGCTGTGCTTACGCGACCGAACGGAGGTCTTGCTGGTGCTCGTCACTGCTACAGCCCGGAGCGTATTGCTAACGGCAATACTGGTGTTGTTACTGGCGCGACTGCGAGCCGTGATGACAGCTGTAACCTGCCGTGGGGAACCTTCATTTTGGCAATTATCAGCACGTATCTTCTCCGCTGCCCAAATCCCTGAATTATCTGCTAACTGGCTACCAGACTCCTCCATGCCATCACCGCCTCCTTCCACGAGATTAGGGACCACCGCCGAAAGGCCAGGCTCGAACAAGAGAAGGCCGTTCAGCCACACACCGAGGCCGCCGCTGATGGCGTCCGCTACTAGATTCTCAAACCGCTCGATGTTCCGTTAGAAAACAGGGCATGGGAGGTTGTGAAGCACGAAGGTGTGTCGCACACATACCTACCATCCAAGCCCTACGAAGAACACACACGTATACCCATAGTGCATCAGCCCAGCCCTTGATGCATTATATTTTCTCACGACTTTTCACTTTAGCGAATGGCGCAACTGGGCCGGAGTTTCTGTAGTCATTGAGCGAAATAATTCTGCGTTCAACCAATGCAACACCTACCGTATATTCTACTCGAAAATTTCTATCAGATCGTGATGCCAATTCTGAAGTAACAAGGCTGGTGACGCTATCCATCTCGGTGACCTGCGCACCGGCCTAGAAATCGCTCAACACAGTCTTCTCAAACTCCTCCGCATACTCTTTTGCTGGGGTGATCGCTCCAAGCCAATACCCGCCCCTAGCATCCTTACCAACACACATGCCAATGCCCCCTGAGCTTTTACCCCAACCGTCCACCCGTCTATCGTGGCCGTTAACACTGATATACATAGGCTTTCCTCTGGTCGGCCTACTAGTCAACCCACCCTCATCACCATCATCAGAAACGACAGCAGCGCTGAAATCTGTATCAAACAACGTTGCCTTTGCCCAATTTGAGAACACGTAGGCTGCCGGCCCCATCTGCGGATCCGACGGAGGCGTAAGATTTTGCTGTCCGTTGCGGCTGGCACACTGCGAAGCTTCCACCGCCTCTCTATTCGCCTGCTCAACAAGATCTTTGCGAATACGAGCCGCAACGTGACCCAACGGCATACCGACAAACTGCTGTACACTGAACGCGGAAATGATTCCACCTGTGCAGTTTGCAACATATGCTTTTCCTTTTGGAATCAAGACCTCGTATTTGGTTGACGAGGTAGATAATACGTCTCGCATGCCCAAGACATTGAGTATTATGACGGGTCGAGCAGGGGGTGAGTTGAGCAGAGATGTGTCGGAGGAAACGAGATGGCGGATTAACCATGCTGAGAAGATGTCGCCGTCCGAGAGGAAGGGCTTTGGTGCGGAAGACGTTGAGGTATTGTAGGTTATTTGTGAGGCGTCGAGAGATTCAAGATTGTGCATTGCTTCAATTCGCAAGCGAGCCATGTAGGCCGCGGGCATATAAAGCATACGGCCGTTCTGCGTTGTCGTCGGTCCAAAGAACCGAGAGTAGAGGTATGCGAGCGTCGTTCTGGGGTCTAGCAAGCTTGGAAGCCAGGTCTTGAAGTTTGAAATTACCTTCCAGATCTGAGATTGCGCTTTCTCTTGCACCTGCGCATTCTTGGCACTCATACCCTCTGCATCCTGGTTGTCCTCATCGGGAGAAGCTCCAAGCCGCATCAATGGGTCGAAATCGTAACCCCAGAACTCCGGTACATCTTCGTCTCTTCCTTCCAACACTGCCGTCCAGGCTCTTAGTAGAGTTTGTCGTCCCATCGCATCAAGAAGCGTATGTAGCCAAGTCAGGGTGACCAGTGTCGCATCCTTGAAGCTCGCTACATGTAAGCCTAACTGCGCTTCGTCTGAAAAGATCCAGTCATCAAGGACTGAAGTGTTGCCCTTCGCACTTATAACCCCACGTAGCGACTCTAGAACGCCGAAGACCTGGACACTGTCGTTACGCTCGTTTGCAGTAGGAATTTGGCAACCAAGAGGATGGTCCTTCAATTTGCTGTCGAAAGTCTCATGGGTGAAGTTGACTGGCGGGCGCTCTTTGGTATACTGTGCTGGTATGTGGTATTCAAGTTTATCGTTGCTGGTGTTGAGCCGCAGTCTCGCTCCCAACTTCCTCCAACCCGGTTTCTCCAGCAACCTCCATAATGCTTCGACAAGCTTCCGCTCATCAAGAACATCGTCAAAACACATGGTGAATTCGACTGAAACGTTTCTGTTTTGATGCGTGTCGTCGCGGCTGTGGAGGGGTATGATGGTATCCGTGGGTATGCGAGGAGGAGCGACTCGCTGCCCAGTGAAGTAGTTCGATAGGAAGGACATGTTTAAGAAAGCGAAAGCTATCACTGGGTGCCTCACAGAAGAAAGAGAAGGTGATTCACCGATATCGTATCAATTTTGGTGCGGGCAGATACTTCAAATATATGTCTTGCGTCTAAGCGACGCGAAACCAAATGCATGTGCCACAAGCGATACTTGGGTACGCCCGGGCGTTATCTCACGTGAGAGGTATCGGATAGTCAATTGCCCAGGGCTTGTAGACCTTACATCCGCACTGATGTGTACCTACTAGCAGTAGGGGTGCCAATCATATGTGCCTTGGTGTAGTAAAGGGCTTGGATTAAGTAGCCTACCGGTTAGTTTCGCATTAAGGCTGACTATACGCCAAGCCTCGCATACCGGTCAGCGGGATCTCGGGAGAGTCTAATCCCCGAATTGCCGGCAAGTAGAAATATACGAAGATACGAAGGTCGTGGCGGATTAAAAAAGTCCGAGAGTTTCCACGAACCGCCTCACTGTGCGACAGTCGCCCTCGCATGCAACCTTATGGTAACTTGGGACTGAGATAGATATGCAACATAGAGTGAATGAAGATGTCGTTTATCATCGTAATTTCATAAGTGCCGTCGATAAGGAAATGTCAATTACCAGGCCCAGTGAAATTCCCAATGAACACAACCAAGATCGCACAGTAGGCTGCAGACGCCGCGAAAAGTTCATGCCTCGCCGCCTTGGTCAGCAGACTCATCGCAGCACTGAATAGTAATGTGAATACTATCAACACACCAACTGCGTTGAATGTATCTCGCTTGTTAATGTCCACTTGACTCTGCGTGGAAGTCTTGCCTGATGGGTCGGTCTCAATATGGGCGGCAGTGTTCGTCAACTGGTACATGGTGATGACTGGTACCACGAGGAGACAGAATATAATGAAGGTGATGAGGATGTTGACCAGTTTGTCGACACGAGAGCTGCTGTAGTAGGAGATGTCGGCATCGCTAGTCTTCTTTTGCGCTTCTGGGGTTCGGAAGTATCGCTGTGCATCATGTTAGAAACATGACTCTTCAAGTTGGAAGATCGTCTCCATGTACCTGTAGCGGGGGGTTCTCTGTGTTGAAGACTTTCTGAAGGAAGCGGTCTGTTTGCCCTATCATCGTCTCTACGCCACCATCGAAACTCGCCCACTCACGACCATTATGGATGGTGACTATGTCTTCTTTTGTGCGAATAGAGTCAAGTACATCATCCATGAGCGGCTTCTTCTTGAAGCAGTAGCGTCGCACACTGCGGTAGTTGCGATCTGAGGGCCTTTGGAAAGACTGGAGCTCTCTTGCCTTTATGAGCACCTCATCTGCGTGTCAATTAGCTAATGACTCACGAGTAGGACTCTCTTGATTACTGCTGACGTATACATACCGTATTCGATCAGTTTAGCTTTGATCTCGCGAAGTATGACTCGACGGCTGCGATCAGCTCCTTCGCCGGTAGGCTGCTGTATGTCGTAGTCCCTGGACTTCAGACGACGAGAATCCACTTCATCATCCACTTCATCAATGTCATCAAGTTCTCTTTCCAAACAGGTGATCTCATCCTGCAAATCGAGCAGCACACGTGAATGCAGGTAGCTGAAACTGCGATATAATGCAAAATTTGTGTCGCTAGCTTGGAATGCTGCAAGCCTTGGGAAGCCGTTAGGCGTATCTTCCACTACGTTATATCAGTGACAAGCCATATGGAGACTCTTGAATATACTCACGTGTCCGAGTGTTGGTCTCAGTCACGAAGAGAGGTTCTGGCTCGGAGCGAAATGAACCTGTCATGCGATGTAAAACCCCAGGCCGCTTCTTGTCATTCGCTGAAGAAATGTCAGTTTTGCTCATATGGATGCCAATCATAGCCCTAGATTGTAATCACGTAATGCATACGAGCTGGCTGACCGGTGTGAGCCATTGCGCTTCAGCTGATGCCGAGCATCGACCATGTTTGGCGCTGGGGGCCAAAATAGTGGCATGGAGTGACCTACAAGGCTGTGCACTTTCAATGTCAACGTCGACATCACCAGAGGTCGTTGGCATTGGGGCCGAGGTAGGGTGGCAGTCACTATTCTCGTCCGCTACTTCGATGTAGGCGTCACCTCTTAGGGTTGTGTCGGTACCCGTTGGAGACACTGGCGATTGAGGTGTCTTCTCATCGGTAAACGTATCCCCGGTCATGGTACGAAGAGGGGTCATGGCGAGGCAAGAGACAAGCGAGACAAGCGTGACAGCGACGAACGAACAGACGAAGAGAAGGCAAGCAAGATATTTCGCACAATCGAATATCACTCAAGCGAGCATTAAAAGTGAGTTGTGGCTAAGAGATTGTGGCAACAGAAGGGTGTAAGTAGTATTGAATAGCGGGAACAAGAAAGATGATGGTTGCATGTGTAAGACTCAGCCCCAACGCCTCACTCACAATTGGCTGCGCGCGTCACAAATTCAGCTGCCTGGTGGCATTCCGGTGAGCTCAGCCTCAGGCAGTGTAGCACTGTTCAGGCGCCGGCCCTGAGATCCCTTTCGCGTGTCCAGCTGCCATCCACTTTTTGTGTGTAAAAGTCCTCAAGCTGATACTCGATCCAGCCATGAGGGCTGCTCCTGCGCGCGTAGATCGTATAGGCAGATCTGGTTTGAGCACCACCAGGTGCTGATGCCCTCTTGCGCACTCTGTCGCCCTTGTTGAAGCGCGCATCCGCCTGGCTCTTTGTTAGAGAAGGGTGTTGTGTTCATAAAAAGAACGGACATACTAGATCCGCGTTTGTGATGGGTGCAACCCCGGACTTGGTCAGAGGAGTTGGGTTTTCGGGTGTAGAGTTCAAATTTTGATCCTGTGCCTGCGTATCAGCCCTGCGTTGCTGCAATGACGGGGCGCGACTCACCTCCACAGCCTGAACAGGTTGATGTTCGAGCATGTCGGTTGCCATGATTACTGGAAGTCTGTGAAGCGAGGTAGGATAGATAGCCTTGTAGGTGATGCCCTTGGGAAGGAGCAGGCTGTCTTCTGTTATAGAGAGGTCTATTGCTGGCCTCCGTAAACCATGTACTTGCAGCAGCCCCAGGCAACACAGGTTCGTGACCGGTATTGATGATAGTCGGGACCCTTTGGGTTTGCACAGCCGCAGCTTGGAATGTTTGCTTAGGTGCATGCAGCGATGCGGCACCCATGCGCCATGGCCCCCTCTACAGGTGTCCTACCGCTGAGCAAGCCGTCATCGTGAACGGCCATTTACCGAAAGAGGCTATGGCACGGGACGGAACGCTCAGTTCTTAGTAAGACGAGCGTTGGGGGTGCATGGTGGAGGCACTGCCTTTGGCCCCCAACGGTGGTGGTGTGATTGCGCGGTGCGCTAATTGGCCAAGGCCAGCTGCATCTGCTATCTCCGCACTCTTCAAGCCGTGGTGCATGCACCCAATATGGGGGCTGAAGGTTACTCCAAGGCTACGAACTCCATCCTTCAAAATGGCGGGCACCTGCGAACTCTCTCAGCCTCGTACCTTGGAGGCTTTTCCACCCAATGGCTCCTATTCCAGACTCCACGATGCGCGTCGCGAACGCAGCAACGACGACCGAGATAGCCCCTCCTCGCAACGCAAACCCCCTCCCCGACAAAGTCATCAATGCCGACATACGCATACGCTCGATTGAAGACGAGCTTCAGCGCAGCGGACAGACTCCCCCAACCCAGGAGACTCTCGTAGAGAGCACGCCCACCAAGGAACATGGCGACGCGAGTACAGAGTCACAGAAGAACTGGTGGGCCGAGGCCATTGCAGAAAACATGGATCTGGCAGACGGCTACACCAAAGTCGCAGTGCTGTTGATCAAGTGGGAGGACGGTCTCGACGAGCTCATGACTGGTGACGAGGTATGCCAAGGGGAAACGCGTCGCGTCCGGACTGACTGACAATTCCAAAGGCCAGAGAACTCGCAACCCTCTTCAGCGAACGCTTTCACTACCAAACCAAGACGGTCGAATTGAATGTACGAGAGAAGCCGCAGCACCAGCTCAATATGCACGTCAGTCAGTTCATCTGCGAGCATGACGGAACACAAAGTCTGCTTATTGTATACTATACTGGGCACGGCGTCTATCAAAAGTCGACCAAAACTTTGCAGCTCACGGTCACTCAAAACCCAGATGAGGAAAAAGGCCTTAGCAAGATAGGCCATGCGAGTTGGAACATGGCAGAGGAGCAGCTCCGTCAGCCAAGCGTCGAGGCCGACGTACTAACTATATTGGACACTTGCTACTCGAGCAATCTTGTCAAGTCTAGCCGGCAGGAAGAGAAGAAATTTGAGCTACTTAGCGCCTGTTATATCGACGAGACGACTGCCGCCCCCGGCCCCAATTCGTATACCCGTGCTTTCATCGACGCTGCCACATACTTCATCGACAAAGATCCCAAGCGTCCAATATCTACCTTCAGCCTAACACAGCGCATCAATGAAGACAAGAGGCGTATCGATACTCCTTCACACCTCTGGGGCCGTAACCGCATCCCTCAGCCAAACCAAGAGCACATCTTCTTGACGCCCCTCAGTCCTGCCAAAGCCGATGCTCTACACCAATACCGCCCCAGAGCCAATGGGTACTTGACCCTACGATTCGGTCTCCGCGACGCCTCGCTAAACCAAGCACAAATTGATTACATGGCCAAGCTCCTTACAAAGGCATGGAACAACAAGGATTCGATTGGCTTGAGGAGGATCGACTGCATAGAAATGAAGCCTGCTCCGCCACTTTCGCACTTCGAGCGCGTGACATCCGTGCTGCGTGTTAAAGCGCAGTGGAAGAGGGTCATTGCTAGGAACAAGGAGAGAAAGCAGTCGCAGAACGGCGGTGATGTGAACGGGTCGGTGAAGCGCACACGCGAGGACACAAACGAACTGCCAGATGCCAAGAGGCAGCACTTGGGACCAATACCCCCACCATCCCCAGCAGTATCGGATGCCTAGGGCGGCGTTTCACCAATTCATCTTCGCTTCCGTCATCGCTACTCTTCTTTTCAGTTATGTTTAGATCTCGGATACCCCACTGGTGCTTGTTGCAAAAACTACTTTCTATTATCATATATCAGTCATTACGTATCTAATGTATTCGCAACTATGATTGCACTTGAGCCGTTGCGGCCAAGAATTTCCATCGGCTTCTACTCGGAGGTTGCCCAAACAGGTGGCGCCACTTCTTGGTCTCACCACTATCATCACGTTAAGCTTCGACAATACAGCATGGTAGCGCTAGACACGTAGCACAATATAGAGAACTACATCGAAGCTTCTCATCTACCCTGGGTGCTGCGTGATACCCTGATCAACACGTTCCGCTCATCATTTGCAGTGTGGTATAAAGTCGAAGCTTCCCTACGAGGATACGCTCACATCAACATCCACATCCAAGCCACCACTTCAATCCACAAGTCGCCATCGCAGCTTAAGCTTCATCTGCCTTAGCCAGAAACCGATCTAGTCATCAATATTATACCACCCAATGGCTGCACCCAGCACAACCGCCGCTACCATGCTGACACCGGACCGACACAACCTCACCATCGGTCATTGTCGCGCGCAACGACAGGCACTCTATTCCCACACCGATCTTGGCACACCCACTCTGCTAAAGAAGCACCCGAAACCCATCATCTGTACCCCACGGGCAAGTGAGGATGAGTGGACGGAAAGTCAAGAAGAACTCGAGCGCTGGGGTATGGGAGCCACCAATACGACGAAGTCAGGGTCTAGTCAAGTCACAGCACCAAGTCGCTCGCAAGGACGAGGTTTGGAGTACGGGGAAGTAATGGGATTCTGTTAGGCAAGAGGAAGAAGAAGAAGAAGAAATAAATGGGGAATGTTAAGATTTCATCATGGCAATCGATTGTTTCTACTATCTCTCTACATCGGCCTCTCTCCTACTACTCTTGCTAACTTGTACTTCGCTTCTGCTTCGCGCACTGCACCTGTTACACTTCCCTCCAGCGCGCATACCCCTAGCGTGCTCACTTTTTGACGTCGCAATCTATTATCTTAACTATCTCGCGATGTTGGCCTCTCTTCTACTACTCTTACCAACTAGTATGCCGCTCCTGCTTCGCGCACTGCAATGGCTACAACCAAGTTCAGCGCGCTTGCCTCCAGTGCGCTCGCTCCTTCCCAGAAAGACGTCTTACACCCGCCGCCTAGCTACGTCAAGCTCGCTCCTGCTATACTTGCTAGGCGGCGAAGCCACCTCTCGTCAACACTATTCGTCCCTCCTTACCTGTGTAGAACTCCCTCGCGCCGCTACATTACCCTGGTTTACCCCCTCACTTGCAGCATCGCCTCGGTGTGGGTACATACTATCAACTCTCAGGCTGCCAAAGGTCCACGCGCTGTTATACGCTCCTGCCTTACTCCCTCACTTGCAGCATCACCTCGGTGTAGGTACATACTATCAACCTTCAGGCTGCCAAAGGTTTACGCGCCGCCACACCCCCCTTAGGAGTGTCTACTATGGCCAAATGAAAGATCCAACATGACCCATACAAGCAAAAGAGTATGGACGGCTACATCTCGCGCCCCGCCCCGCCCAGTCTTACTAAGACTACACCAAAGAGCAAGGAAGTCGCCCCCGCCCAACCACCCAACCCCATCAAGACTCAGCGGAAACGTTAACGAGAAGACGACGACGACGACACAGATGCGGCGCGGCCCCCCGTACAGGACACCAGGCTTACGAGAAGTGCCAAAAAGCGACTAGATGCAGGGTCAACCAGTCGACACGCAGATGAAGATGATGCCAGCCTGCACGAGTCCTACATAGCAGTAGCAACAGACGATGACACAGGTAGTGTTTTTGAGTCAGAGAACTACAGCGATCCCGAGGGCGACGAAGAGGATATGTTCCTGAGTTCAGACGACAACGAGGATGAGGCCAGCCAACCTGAGGACGAGGCCGACCAGCCCGACAAAGACAACGAGGACAATGCCGACCAGCCCAACGAAGACAACGAAGACGAGGCCAACCAGTTCGAATACAATGCCAACCAGTCTAACGAAGCCAGCCAGTCTGACGATGCCGACCAGACCGACGACGATGCCGATATCCACCATGCGGACGATGATGACATGAAGGAGACACAGTACTCCCTCGAGATACCGCTACGCGACCAAGATCTCTTTAATGTTGATGTTACCGCCGCTGAAGTTACATCCATGGTGGAAAAAGTCTTGCCTGCGCTGTCATCAAGAAAGATGAAGAATTTCTACAGAACTATCGCAGGCCATCTTGAGAAGTCCCCTCCATTTAGGATCCCGGCGCGCTCTCGACACCCCACTACCTGGTCGTTAGTCAACCCTGACTTCGATTTACTATGGAAGCACTCAGCCGACGGCGAGCGGGCTCTAGAACTCGGCGACCCAGGTCTGTTACCAAGATGGCTTAACATGTCAGAAGACGGTCTTGTAAAGCCAATTGGCTCGTTCACCGACACACTACTACTGATATCCAGCTACCCGACAGCATCAGAGGAAGGGAGTGTGCATAACCGCTATGGCACTGTGGATGATATGAGCAATGTTTGCATGTGGATGCTCTATGCAAAATTTGGATTCCGCGTGGCCGACATACGATCGCATGGGGTAATGCATGTCGACATCATGGCTCGACGCCTCGACCAGAATCTGATACCAGGATCTGATGGAGACAAGCTCTTTCAAATCACACTCATTAAACCACTCTGGCACAGTGTCGTATGCTGGTATTGATGAAGTACAATGAATTATGCAAAACTATTTAGGTAGAGCGAGATGTGTGTAGCTATTGTGCTAACTAGATTAGATCCAGGCATGTTTACAACAAGTGGGGCTAGTGTGTAATCATCTAGACGATCGGATAACTTTCAGATTTGAAATTCTGTAGTCTCCGCCTCATGGCACCGAATAAGAGGATCCTGGGGAAGATAGCTAACCTCTAATGCGCTGGATAAAGGTTCTGTTGCAATTGCCCTGTGCCACTTATTGAGAAGATGCCAGAGAAGATAGCTAACCTCGGATGCGCTGGATAAGAGTTCTGTCGCAACTACCTCATGCCACTCACCGAGAAGGCGTGGGGAAGATGGTTGGCCATCGATGATGCGCTGGATGTGGGTCCTCTAGCAACTGCCTCATGCCTCTCGCGACTGCCTCATTCCACTCGCTTCTGGCACACAGCATTCGGGGTATCTAATATTCAAATCTCTCTGAGCGTTTTCTATCTGTCCTTTACGTGTGCCAGTAGACGCATTTCATCCTCAAGACCTCGATTACCTTGCCGCCAACGCGCTCATCCAACAAAGAAAACTCCCCACCTGCGAAGAGACCCAAGAAGACAGTACTGTCGGCATCACCGTCCCAACTACCTGAACCGCCACCAGGACACCAGACAGCGCGGACTCGATCATCAACAACGAAAGCAAAACGACCCCCTGTGTTTACGGATTTCACCAACAACACCGGAGCGACAGAGCAGATAGTAGACGACGCGGATCCCACAACTAGCATCATTGACGAATGCACAGTACCTGACATCGTTGACCGATGCTCCCTAACAGATCACGACCTGTTTAGTGAGCTAACCGTCGACGAAATCCGCAATTTGGTAGAACGATTGTTGCCAGACCTTCAAGAAGAGAGTAAGCTCTGCTCTACTCTACAGCACGTAAGGCGCATGTGTACTAACTTTACTAGGAGTTCAAGAGTTCCTTGCGACAGTATATGACCACGCATGCACATCGCCGCCTTTCGTTATACCCCGCCGAGAGCGAGATCCGTCGACCTGGCCGCTTACTTATCCGGACATGGACTTCGCATGGGAATAGGCAGTGGAAGGCGAACATGCTATTGAGCTCCCGGAGACAATGGACAATTGGATTGACATGAGCGAGAGCAATTTGGGTAGGTTGTCAACGTGAAGTTGGATAGCCTCCAAGCTAATTACGCTCACGCAGTTAAACCTACTGGAAGCCTCCGCGATACTCTTCTCATTGTCAGTTCATACCCCACTGCCAAGGAGGATAGCACCGTGCATCGATCGTATGGTACCACCCTAGACGTTTCAAACGAGTCGATGTTTATGCTATACGCCAAGCTTGGCCACAACGTATCCTCGATCAGAGACCACGGCGCCCTCCACTTGGACGTATTCCCCAGGCGAGTGAACCGAAACCTTGCGCTCGGTCTAGGGAATATCATCGACCAGGTCCCGACCAATCTAGGCATGTATTGGAAACTCGTGGTCCGTCAGCTCATTGAGTTGTCGCATTCCAAACTGGCTCTCCTCGTCGGGTCCGCAGGCGTTGCCACATACGTCGACTATCTCAAACAAAACAACATCCGCCATCAGATATTGCCATCGAACAGAAGCGTGCAAGGCTACCAGAAAGAGATTCATCATGGAGTAGAACAGGTTGCAGATGGAGAGAGAAGCGCAAAAGAAGAGTGAAGGTGAGGCTCCAAAACGGCGAAAAGATGGCAGAATGCCGAAGAGCCTACAGTAAGCTACATACGTTGTACCTAGGACTGCGACGAGTATCTATTCCCAAGTGCCTCTACTATCAACTAAGGTTGTTTAATCCATAAGGTGTGTCACGCGGCAGCAGTTAGAGAGAGGTAAAGAGGTAGCAGAAAATCCGGCTGCGGTCTGTTGATACAGCTGTCTGACGCCTACGTATTCTTGTAGCATAGCACATTGGCTGTATTTTGGCACGTGTATTCTGCAAACTACAATTTCGGCGCCCTCACTTGAAGCACTTCATCAGAACAATCGCCATTTCGTGTTGCTGCACTTTGTGATTCGGTGTTCTCTTATGTCGCGGAAAACGTAGAGCAGGGTCTAGAGAGACGCGTCGAAGTGTTCAGACGGCAGCTTGTTGGTAAGGGTTTCTCCCACGTGTTGCACTTACCAGTCACATTTCTCTTCATATAACAGTGCAGTCGTGTTACGCGCATACAACCTTGAGCGGGATCTTCTTTCTTTTCCATAGAGCTCAATACAACTTCGCATACCTGGGCAACAGTTCCCTGACCGCGCTCTGTTGCTCTGCTCTGCATCAACATCTCACCGTAATACGTAGGTACCTTTGAGATGAAGTAATTATCAGCCAGTTCGTGTCATTTTGGAGCGCAATAGGTAGGTATAGTGAAACTCATTTGCGTGTAGAATCGAAATATGTCTGACCTGCGCGAGCAGCCGCATCCCGCTGAAGCTCCCTAAGTTCGCCAACGAGAATATAGACACCGTTCCTTCCCCGCCCAAGTTTGTCGCTCCCGTGCGCCCTCTTACACCCCCACTCCCGCTATTGCGACCCTCTCTGCCCTTCACACCTCCTCCACCTTCGCCTCCACTTTCGCTGTCATCAACCTTGACTAAGCTTTTTCTTGTTCTACAAGTTGAAGATGCAGACCCCAAAGAGCAAGGGAAAGGCCCTGAAGCGGAGGAAATAACGAAAAAGGGAGGAGTGAGTAAGTTTTGAAATCGCGAGATATACTGTAGAGGGTAGGCCTGTAATCACAATCGAAGGATACACGGGTTGAATACAAGAAGTGGGACTTGGGAGGATTACATCAAAGTTGCAGTGTGATGGTGATGTCTTCTCATCGGGCTCGGCACGATGCGTGGGCGGGAGATCCGCTAGCGGCGCACTGCTGATTGGTTTCATGCAGGTCCGCTTCAACCCCAGAAATAACTCCCCAAGCCGCGCATCGTGAGCGCCGCTGCCACCAAAGTGTTGCGCCCGTGCTGCTGGCGAGCGCTTCCGATAACCTTCTAATCCTGCACTATGTAGAGCGCGAGCACGTCTATTATACCAAGGCTCGAAACCTCCGGCACCATGGACACGATCGCAGTGGCCCCCAAGGCGTCGGCGCTGGCGTCGCCCAAGATTGTTAAGAATGCAAAGGGCAACATTGTGCCGAGCAGCCAGATGGCGCATATCGCGTATGGATGCGGTAAGCGCTCAGCCATCCAGAATGTCGGAGGAGGCTGCTAACACATGGCAGAGCACATGGGCGAGATGTTCGAGAAGGCGCGCAAGCAGACGCTCCAGCACTACCGAGCCATCCTCCAGAATATCCACGAGAAACCGAGTATAATAGCCCAGACGTACACTGCGCCGGCGGATGCGCGCAACGTTGTGTCGCTGAGGCCGCTGTACCTGTGCCTGCAGTGCCCGAGCATCATGACCGAGGTGGATCGCGATTTGCACTTCGAGACCAAGTCGCACTGTTTCTGTGGGTTAGACAATGCCCTAGGAATACAAAGGGCTAACAGGAAGCAGCTGTCGAGTCACGAGACGGCAACATATACTGTGGCAATTGCCAGGACTTCATCTACGACGAGACGTTGGACGTGCTGAGAGTACAGAAGGGTGTGTGGCGGTATTCTCATGCTTGAAAGAATCAGATTGGCTGACTACAATACAGGCAAGAAGCGAAAGTACGAAGACAACACCACGACCGAAGACCACAAGCTCGTAATCAGCAACTCGACCTTCCTCCCCTGCCGCGCGATAGGCCTGCGTGGGCTCTATAATATGGGCCAGACATGCTTCATGAGCGTCATCCTACAAACCCTCGTCCACAACCCGTTCATACGAAACTTCTATCTTTCCGAAGGTCATAAGCAGACAGAGTGCGAGAGGGACTCATGTGTGAGCTGTGCGCTGGACGAGATGTTTGTCGAATTCCACTCAGCTGAGAAGACAGAGGGCTTTGGCGCCGTCAGCATGCTCATGGGCAGCTGGCTGGCGGGGGAAGCTCTCGCAGGATACCAGCAGCAGGATGCGCACGAGTACATGCAGTTCATACTCAACACGCTGCACCAGGCGAACGGCGGATCGACAGACGACTCGGAGGATTGCAAGTGCGTGGTACATCAGGCCTTCTGCGGGAAGCTCTCAAGTACGGTGACATGCGACAATTGTCGCAATGTGACCACGGCGCAAGACCCGTATATGGACCTTAGTTTGGACGTGCGGATACAAGGCAAGAAACGGAAGATCAAGGAAGAAAAGGGTGAAGAGACACCTTTGGATTTGAGGGACTGTCTCGAACGCTTCACGGTGAAGGAGAAGCTGGGCTCAGCAGAGTACACATGTCGGAATTGCGATAGTCCGCAGAATGCGACCAAGCAGCTGAGCATCAAGAGGTTACCACCGGTCCTCTCCATTCACCTCAAGGTATGTAAGGACAGTCATCGCTGTGATCATCATACTAACTCGAACTCAGCGCTTCGAGCACACAAAATCCACGTCCTCCAAGATCGAAACCCCCGTTCGCTTCCCAGTCAAACTAGACATATATCCCTACACGACCGCCCACAAAGCCGCCATGCGCGCCGTGAAGACCTCCGGCGCACCGCTCTCGAACCACAACGTCAACAGCCCGGCGAACGCCCTCGTATACGAACTGAGTAGTGTCATCGTACACAAAGGCAAAATCGACTCTGGACACTACGTCAGTTACAGCAGGGAGGGTAACGACTGGTTCATGTTCGACGACAGCAAGGTAGTGCTGGTCAGCGAGGCAGAGGTCCTTGCTGCAGAGGCCTATCTGCTATTCTACATGGTTGGTGGACTAGAGGTATAAGAGCCTCCTTGGAAGAAGGTGGAGTTCCGGCAGTTTGGTGTACAGTATCTCTGCTCGGGCATGTTACAGGCCCATGAGCTGCATGATTGGCGTTTAGAGGGCACTCCGGCGTTTGTGAGGGCAGTTGAGAAGTCCTCTTTATCTTGGGATTATCTGGCATACAGGGCTTCAACGTTATCACTTTCTCAATACATTACAATTCTTCTTCAACGAACTTCAACCAGCCTCACTACGCAGTGGACCATCCTGACTTTCTTCGAACGCATTGGTGTTCATCATCACCCTTCCCAATCAGGCCGTCCGTCCGATTCATGCTATCACGACCTCTCCACTCGGGAAACTTTGCCGCGGCCAATACCGCCGCACACACACAAACGCGCCGTTTCAATGCACACTTCGTAGGGCAAAAAGCGATCTGAGCAGCACCTATTTTCACCGCAAACAGATACATCCGGTGGCTTTACACCGCTCATCACATCCTCTTGCAGCAGCCACCCCACTCATGCAATATATCTGCTATCGTTCAATGATTCAGTACTTCGTTGACTACGTATATTAAGGTATCGCTGCCTCGCAGAATGACCATTCGACTTTATTATTTTTTACTTCATGTACTAATTGAACGGCGATTTCGCCTTTGTCGAACTCGAGGAAATATTGCTCCTTGAGCTGGAATCCTCAAACATGGTTTCGATCTGGGTATTAACTGTTATCCCCTTCCCGCTCACAAACTGCTCAACGCCGCCTATTTGATCTGACGGCGGATCCGTAAAGAGCGAGTCTTCTGATCCGTTTGCTCGATTCCGGGTATCGTGTGTGGAGTGCAGACCGCCGGAGATTTGGTTCGAAGCAGTCAGGCGGTTTCCGCTGGCTTTTCGCCGCGCGGACGAGAGTTCGTAGTGGCGACCGTAGCTGTTGGCGGAGTCTTTGGTGGTGTTGTTTGTGCCGAGGATCATGGAGCGGAGAGCGGGGAGACATGTGGCGATTATGGCGATGGCGGTTTCGATCATGGAGACGGTGCATGTTAGCATTGTTTCGTTCCTGTGCGAGTAGTAGGCTCGGACGACTGGCGAAATGTTAGTCTGATTCAAGTTCATCTCGAATCTGATGGGAACGTACTGCTGGCAATTACGACGAAGAAACCCAAGGCGAAGATTCCGGCTACGCCGATCTTCTGCTTCAACTTCATCTGCAGCCTGGAAACCATGGTGATGGGCAGGCAGATGATGAACACGTCGGTCGCGATGTTGAAGCAAATGGTGATCCAGTAGTTGATCTCGGCGGCTTTGGGACTGCATTGATCTGCGCATGGTCAGTCTCCACCGTTCGCATGCATGTGGGTCAGGGTTTGCTTTTGCTCACAGGCTGGGTTATTCGACCATCGCTTGTCGTGGGGGAAGCACTGGAAGATGATGTCGAAAAAGATGACGAGGTAGGTGACAGCTAATCCGGCAAGCGTAAAGTTATACACAAGGACCAGACGGGAGCCGGGAGCAGCCAGGCTCTTGTAGAAGAAGACCAGGGCAAACTTGATCGCCCATAGTGAGGAAACGTAGAGCGTCGATCCGGGGATGATCATCTGCATTATGCCCTTGAAGTTTTCCGGGGTTATAGACGCCATGTCGCCCAGTCCCAGGTTCCACATGTGCTGTTGGATGATGAGATCCCCAATCAGACATGTTAGAGAGAGTAGGATGAGGTAGTCGTCGATTCCTAGGTTGCCCAGTCTCGACCATCGCGCATACATGCGTAGCGCGACAAAAGGCACCGTGGCTACGGTACAGATATACCATGACACCTGTCAACTGAATCAGCACTGCACATAGTATACGAAGCATGCAGGAAGAGGAGAACTTACCACCTGCCCGAGCTCACTGTCCACCATGTTGCTTTGCTTGTGTGGCCGTCACCGAGAAAAAGGCCGTGAGGAGTTCGAGCCTGCTCGCTCCACTCTAGTTGGAGATCCAAGAACAGTGTGTGGAGAGTGTGACGAGGGTGAGTAGAGCGTCGATTGACAGCGGGGCTGCCGCAACAAGTACCATTTTTCTCTACATCACGGGCAAACGACCCCCTAAAGTAACTTTACAGGATGTTGCGGGTTGTGCAACTAGTATGCCGTCCCGTAGCGTTGTGGCATGATAGCATCAGGGGACCTCCCAAAGCCCAACCAACCGTAAGCTGGCAAGCATCTGAGAGGTCTCGGCCGCTAGAGTCGGTAGCCAAAATTGAGCTGCGAAACCCTTCTACGGCCGCTACTGAGTGGCAACGTTTTCATGCGTTAGAGCAGGTTCAGCTACGCTGGTTGGAAGAATCTGACTCGAGACGACAAAACTACATGTATAGCATCGTGTCCGCCGAACGGGGCAGTGGGAAACCATACGCCACTGCTCGCATGTGAAGAGACTACCGAGTAATGGATGGCAAAAAATCGTCGTTGGCCTCGGGGTCATGGGTGCGAGGGTGAGAAGGGTTGTGCTCAGATCCGTATCGAGGTTCCATGGTTCGGTCCGATGAGGATGCAAGCATCCTAGCTCGCATGGCGATGAACGACAGGGAGCACCGGTCTGGAAGGCGAGAACTAGACACATGGCGCACGAGGCCGACAGGTTCTACCTTGGTACCGTCACCTTCTAGCGCTTTTGGTGTCTCAGCCGGGCTTCTAGCATGGATGCCGCACGGTAGCTGCGATTGGTTCGACTCGCTTAGCTTTCCAATTTTGCGGTCCCTGAATCTGATCGGACCTCGGATCCTGCGGAATCTGCAGAGACGGAGATGAAAATGCCCTATTTTCCCTCGCGGCTCCTTCAGGCTCCACGCCGGGCAATCTTCGGCAGTTGGACGTTACATGGTGTTGCTGTGCTGTTGGCGGCGAGAACTCGTTCCAGCTGGTGGCAGCCCGCCAAACTGGTGCCCTATATAGCCATGTGTAAGCCCAAACACGATCTACAGCCTCCCGCCAAACTCTATCTCTTACCCAACATCGTGTTTCCCTGTCCTGCGTCATGAAGGTTCCCTCGGCTCTGATTGGCTTGCAAAGCCTCTCGCTAGGCGTTTTCCTCGGACAGGTCGCCGCCACGCCGCTACCTCCGAAACCTTCAAGAGCAACCGTTGCGGATGGAACGGCGGCTCTCGATCAGGGAACTGTGAAGGGTTTCACTGATGACTATGGAAACTCTGTTTTCCTCGGCATTCCATTTGCGCAGACAACTGGGGGACAGAACCGGTATGTAGTGGCGGTTCCGCATCGCCTCCGGTTTACTGATCATGCCGCAGATGGAAGGCTCCTAAGGACGTCAAGAAGCTGAAGAAGGGCGAGGTGCTCGATGCCACAAAGTACGGTGCAACATGTCCCCAGGCCATTACCGGTACAACATACTCCCAGCAAGATGAAGATTGCTTGAACCTCAACATCTGGGCGCCATCTTCGAACAGTAAGCTGCCACGGGCGCCGCCGATGCCTCATAAACCGAATGGACCTCACCATCCACCAGGCCCTCCATCAGGCCCACCAGGTCCACCGGGTTCCCCACCAGGCTTGGACGCACCCGGCGGTCTTCCAGTATTTGTCTACATGTATGTGATTTTCCTGTACGAACTGTATGTGGAGTAAATGCTGACAACCCCGACGGTATGGCGGCGCGATGGTGACGGGCTCAAGCAGCAATCCAGCCTACGTCGGAGAGAATTTCGCTCGCAAGGGAGTTGTGTTCGTGAGCTTCAACACTCGCGAGAGTCTTTGGGCATACCCCAACTCCGCCGAGCTGGTCGATGGCGAGGAGTCGCAGAACTTCGGTATTCTCGATGTCGACAAGGCTTTGCAATGGGTCTTCGACAACATCGCCCAGTTTGGCGGTGACCCCAACCGTGTCGTGTTCGGAGGTCATTCTTCTGGCTCTGTTCAGGTCGACCACTACCTCTGGAACCACCCCAACACACCACTCGTCGGGGCCGTTCAGATGGCTGCCAACGCAAAGTCTGGCCCTGCTGTCGGTCCTACCAACGAAGCGCTCGATCTCGTTGCCAAAGAGGTTGGCTGCGCAACTGGTGCAGGACAGCTCGAGTGCCTGCGCAAGGTGGACATGTACGCCTTCCAAACCGAGGCCTTCAATGCCACCTTGAACACGTACTTCACGCCTGTCGTAGACGAGAAGACACGCTACCAAGACTATGCTGCGCGGTTCGCTGCCGGCAACTACGCTTCCCATGTACCCCTCCTGACGGGTAACTCCGACAAAGAGGGCGCCCTTTTCGGTCTGGTGTATGGCAGCGAGAACACAGACTTTTCGGCGTGGCTCAAGACCTTCGATGCTGACGTCGCCGAGATCCCAAACAACATCATCGAGGCCGCGTACGACATCGCCGACTATTCCAGTGTCTCGGAAATGAGCGGCGCTCAGTACGGTGATGCACGCTTCTTCTGCCCTGTTGATCACTTCATCGACTTGCGCAGCGAGACCCAAGATACTTGGTCATACCGCTTCCTCGGCAACTACTCCAACCTCTTGCCTCTGCCTGTCGACTACCCAACACACGGCGCTGAGATTCCCTTCTTCTTCGGAGGCAACGGTGCCTTTGCTGGTGTTGAGGGAGTGACTGCCGAGGAACAGGCGCTTGCTGACTTCCAAAACGACTGGTTCATCGAGTTCATCAAGAACCCCGCCGCTGGTCCTGGATGGGAAAAGGCCACTCCTCGCAGCGGCCCGATTGCGAAGCTTGGTGTGCCTGGAAACGAGCTTACTGTTGAAATTGGCAACACAGCCGAATACAATGGCAGATGTCAAAAGGTGTACAACCCATATCTGCCAAAGTACCCTGTCATCCAGAGCGTACTCTCTGGTGTCATGGACATGGTAGAGGGCGTCATCGGAAACTAGAATAACGAACAAATAATCAATCGGAAGGCCATCATGATACCTTGGTAGCTTCCGTAGTTAATCCTAATGTAAACACATTAACAGTGATCGTCCCACTTCAGGAAGTTCTCTCCACTGTGGTGATGAACCAATCGCATTTCCAGAAGTCGCGCCTTGGGTTGAAAAGAAAACACGTGATCCCAAGGACTGATCCTGAAACTGGGCTCAGAATCTGTAGGGTTCTCTGACGATGAAACTGGTGTTGTCGCTGATGCGGAAAGAGTCATGCGAAGGGTTGGCAACCTTGGAGTCGGGTCGTGCTGATGAGATCGTGGAATGCATCAGCAAGTAGCGGATGTAGTCGACTTGTGGTCGGCGAGGCTGCTCTCGGCGACACTGCGGCGCGGGGATTGCGCAGGATACGCTTCTGGGGAAATCCGCGTCCTTGCATGGCATGCCTCTCAATAAAATCGCATCTCGAAGATTAAGATGTCGAATTGCGGCTGCTGGGGAGGGCTTTCTAGACCCCGATACATCGGAAAGCACCCGTCTTGGCGAGACCCAGCAGGCCCCTCTCCCTGCTCCGCTAAAGGAAGGAGGATACGACAGAAGGATTGCAGACGAGGCGCGCAACACGGCTTTGCAGCTCGAAGTGTTTAGCAAAGTAAAATTCGCATGTGGGACTGCTCAACACAAAGTGCGAGGCTGAGTCTGGGTTGCTGGTGGTTACCCAGGTACCAATTCGTCGCGTGGCAGATGCGACGACACGCCTCGTGGAACTTGAGCAACGTCTTGTCTTTCCCCACGATAGACCCTGGAAACCTCTTGTCTTCCTCTCACAATTCCACGCCGTCGCACGCGTTTCCACCAAGCTCAAGCCCCAATGTTCCATACTAGGCGGACCCGAGTTTCGCAATTAGCCATGCTGAGGCTGATTGGACCAAGGCTGACGTTTTCTCGCTCGCCCCATCCCGGCTTGGCTCCAAGCGGGTCTCATCCACAGCGCCCCTTTTCTCAGGGCTCTTGAGATGCAATTGACACGACATGAACGGAAGCAATATATGGAGATCGAGAGTCAAATAGAGCGGAATCTGAGAAATGTGCGGCGTACGTCAGAGTCAACTGCTGTCGATTTCCTACAAGAAATTTACCATGGAGTTTACAGGGGATGAGACGATCTACATAAGGCCTCCCCTTGGCACACGGGGGCCTAAAGCTGTCACGCACCCGTCGACAAGGGCGGTATGCCTCATGGCGCGCGATGCGTGTACTGTACAGGCTGCGCCTCTCCATCCCCCCACTGTGACTAGATGCGCATTCTGAAATTGATGCGCCGGTGAGCCCATGTGGCTGAAATACATACAAGCGTTCCAACCGCTGCTCGGGTCTGGACCTGGGCCTGTTGTCGATGCCAATTCTGACATGAAAAGGATCCTTTTGTCTCTGAAAGACTTTTAACGTTGATCTTGTCAGGCCATGACCGCAGACTAACCTTACTGTCCCTGCCTGTCGGTACTCCACAGCCTTCTACCTTTTACTCAGGTCCACCAGGCCCGTTTAAGCTGGCCCACACCCCCGTTATCACACGTCTTGCCCGCAGCATACAACTCTTTATAGACTCGCTTCCACCCATGGCCTGCACGTCGATCAGGCGTCCGAGCAAGGTTTTGGTGCAAATCACGATCGAACTCGGTCTCCCTCTGCACTTCCTTCACACCACACCCGGTTTCGAATCAACGCCACTATGACCGCGCGTGGCCGTCTCGAACGCATCGATGAAGACCAAGAGTCTCCCTTCCAACGCCGAACCGTATGCGACCGACTCCAGGACTATCGCCAGCTCGGCTGGCTGGCATGCGCTACGACCTCGCTGCTCACCACACGGCATTTGTTGATTGAAAGGAATCTGCACTATCCCTTGCAACTGTACATTACCCAGATCGCGGCTACGGCCCTAGTCGCTTTCCTTTCCCATCCATGGAGACCGAGCGCTCAACATGCCAGCGAGCAAGACCAACGTAGGAAGCGACCAGTTCAAGGTGGACTATTATTGGCCGCTTCGAATCTCCTACAAGCGGTATCTGCATTCTGCATAGTGCAAGCAGTCCTGCATACTTCGAATCTACCGCTACTATGTATGATCACGGTATGTTCTCTAGAGCAAGCTTGACATGCGTTCCGCTGACCATATCAGACCATAGCCTTCTTCGCTGAAGGTGCAGTTCTCTATGTGTTCAACTACACACCTCGCTCAAACGCAGAAACCCTGTCTTTGAGCTTGCTTGCCATAGCTTGTGCTGGTGTCCTGTTCATGGAATACCGACTAATGGTACCAAGCTTGATCGCATCGATCTTGGCAATGCTCCTCGTTGGTGCTGCAAGTGCAATGAAGAAGCTTGCTGCTAGACACTATCCGGGAGAATATGCTACCCGAAGCATGAACGCAATGTTGCTCGTTGTTATGGGTGGTCTGCTTGCATTGTTCTGTCTTGTCAGCAACTTCCCGGGCGAGCATTGGGACTCATTCGACACAAGCAGCCTGCCTCTCCGCGGTCTCAATGCCTTCTCAACAGCAGCGGCATTGTTGAGTGGGGGCTCGATACTCTTCCCAATGGATATGCAGTCAGGAGGCCAACTACCCGGAAGCAGCTTTGCCGCAACACAACGCGTCCGCAGCGCCACGACAATTCTAGCCATGGCAGCTATCACCGGCTCTTTCACCGTTCTGTCAACGCGCCGATCCTACACCAGCTTTTACCAACTATCATGCTTTTTCCTCGCCATCCTTTGCGCCTGCGGAAAAGACATCTACGACACAGTTTGGAAACAGTCTAGTCGTCACGATGGCTCCCGCGGAAGTTACGATCTCGTCTCACGCTCCCCGAATGCACCGATCGATGACGAAGAGGATTTTGGTACCAAAGCACAACGAGCATCACGGCCAGGATCGCAGGGCAGCAGTGCTCGCTCATCTTTGGTCAGCTTGGTCTTGATCGTGCTGTGGACGGCATTCGTGAGCTTGAACTTTGGACAACGACAATACCCTCGGGAGGAGCCGCGCCTGGATCTACAATACGAACCCATTGGGCCTTTGGAAGTTGTGATCAGCATGTATAAAGAGCGCACTGAGGATGTTGCTGCGCTCATCAAGAAGTTGGAGAGCATGCCACAAATGACAGAGGCTCTTGTCACGATTTACTTGAAGGATGGCGAAGCAGACGAAAGAAGGATCAAAGCGGAAACGAACGCGCACGAAGTCACCAAGCTACCAAACATAGGCCGCGAAGCCGAGACTTACCTGAACCACATCGTCAACCGCTGGGACAGCCTTGCGGAACGAACGATTTTCCTCCAAGCCGACGTTCACAACCCACGAGAATTCTACCCATTCTTCGAGCGATATTTCCGGGCGAACCAGACAGGCTTCCTCAACCTGGGTTGGGCGGGGATATTATGCAATGGCGACGACTGTGGGGACAAGCGCGGCTGGCGTGATGAGACATCGCTGTTCGCGGACGTACAATCCCGAATCGACGGATCCACTCGTGAGAACGTGCTGCTCAGCTACAAAGGCCAGTTCGTTGTCACTGCTGCGCGCATTCGCGGTATCGACAAGTCCATCTACGATGACTTGTGGCAGCTCTTTGTCGACGAGCACAGCTGGGCACACCAAGAGCCCTACCTTCAAGAACGACCCGATTCGATGAGCCAACCCTGGTTCGGATACACAATGGAGAGGATATGGAATGTGCTGTTTCAGTGCTCAGACATGGATGTCGCATGGCGATGCCCGACTCTGTTGAGCGGGTGGAGACCTGGTGGTAGCATTGCCGACTGCCAGTGCTTTGATTCAGAACCGGCTGAGTAGGTGGAGAAGCATGCGTAGCGTCTGAGCATTTTTTGTTTGTTTGTTGTTGTGATACCCCTAGACGTCGAAAGGCGCAACGCGATGACGCGAATTTCGGTCGCTTGTTGTTAAATATAGATGACGCGCAATAAGGCGGAATAATAATAGTTTCCTCAGATTCAGTGCGCACAACCTGGGAACGATCATGATTCCCGTCAGAATGCCATACACGCGAGCATGCTTTTTCCTGCCGAGCGGAACAGCATGGCCGTGGAGCCCGCGGACGACCATGGCACGCAGAAAATGTCATCCCAAAGCGTTTGAGGTCTTCATGCATCCAAGGGCTGCGAATGCAGGAGGTTCGAAGCGCCAAGCTGAAACACTCTGTGCCGGCCAGATCTCGCGTTCCCGTTTGACACGTGATACAGACACCCCACTTTCAATGCTCGCACGGGTGCCGCAATCGATCCTTGCGCACAGGCGAGCCACCACTCACACATGACTCGGCCGCATTGCACAGCCATGGCGTCGCAGATACTCTCCTTTCTCTCGAAACGTTCCATAAGATCACTCGCGGCGACGTTTTGTACCTAGCCGACCAACTTCCCATGCTCACATAGGGACATTGCCCGTCTTCGAGCTCTGGAAAGCCTGCGGCGAACCCCGTATATTGAACCTTCTAATACTCCGGGATACCAACCTGCAACCACTATCACATCTTCGGGAACTAAACGACAGCGTTCCTTCCACTTGGAACTAACGGACCCTGCATACGCCATGGCGACCATACAGCAGCGATCGAGCAATAAGCTCTCAGTCTCTTCGAACAGAAGCTCCGATGGTCTCTACAAGCATCGTCAAAGCATGCTCTTCCGGGAACTGGAAATTCTGCTCGAACTCACACCGAGCACCTTCAGCTCACCACTTCTGGCCCTTCCAAGAGAGATCCGCGACCAAATATTCAACTATGTGTTACCTGATCCTACAAGGATTCGTCCGGAACTTCACACTTGCCTCTGGGGTGCTGAGATGTCCAACGGAGAACCCTGGAGACACGACATCTTCGGATATGGATCCTCCGTAGCCAAAGCATCACGACTACGGCCTGAGCTTCTCTTGATCAACAAACAAATCCGGGACGAGCTGCTGCACAACTACTTTCGCCGCAGCAAGATCACTCTACATGCTGAACTACGGAATACGCGGACGAACAACGACTATTTCGAGTTCTCGCAGCACATCCTGCAACTGCCCATGTTGAAGCATGTAACACATATACGCTTCTACGTTGAATGGAACTACACGACGCTGAAAAACGGAGGGAGGGATCGGATGATGAAAGACCAGACACGTATGACGAAGAATCTCCTTGCCTCCATGGACAAGATCGCCCTGTCACTCCAGTGCATCGAGACGATCGAGCTATCAGTACTCTTCTTCTGGAAATTCCGGAGCGGGAAAATGTATAGTCTTTCCATGCAGGACCTCTTTGACCTCGAAGACGTGTTCAAGCGCTGCGCAGAGCTGCCCTGGCTTGGTTTACTCGGCGAAAATGACGTGCCTGGAAAGAAGAAGACGACTACTTCTACCTACCTCAGCCCGACATCGGCAACGACCAACTCTTCGGCGGGTGTAGGCTACAAGATGTCGACGGAGAAGAAGGGTACGGAACAGAGTGGAGGCATGGAAATTTGCATCAGCCGCGATCTGGAAGATGCGATGGAGGAGAGGAGAAAGAGTAGTGTTGACTTTTTCGGCAACTACGAAGTCACAGAGCCTTTGCCTCAACCCTGTTATCGGCATGGTGCCATGATATGAGGTAAAGGCTTCATAGGAGTATTTCGTCTCATGAAAGGAAGATTGTTGGCCTTTGGTCGAAGAATACCAGAGTTTGCCAAACGACGGCACTTTTGGCACACGAGTCCTGGTCTTGCAACATCTGCTTCGCATACAGCACCACGATCTGATTACCGACGCTATCACAACGCTAAAAGAACGTCGCCTACAATACCAGACTTAGTGCAATAACCATTGGCATGCGCAGCGCTCGTATGACGTTCTCAGCACACAAGCTGATTGGGATGGTATAGTTCTCACGAATGTGAGAGCCTGATGGGCCCGGTTCCACAAGCTCTCCACCGTACAGTGAGCAGGGACTGAGATCACGAATCCGCCAGTAAGGGCAGTAGCATGACCTTGGCCATGCTAGACCCACCAGAGGAGTATCACATCCCGAGTTGTGGCGTGCAATCTACACTAGGCCATGGGGCTCGGCCGAGGCCACTCAATTTGTTGCTAAGCAAACGCGGGGAAGATGGAGAGGGACGGAATTTGGCAAAGAAATCGATTCGAGACTGCTGAATTTGAGCTGGAGTAATAACTGCATGAATGCTGTGATAAGATCGTGTTCTGATGCCTCTGTTGTTCTTCTCAGTGATACCCTCCAAGAAGCAAGGTGCAAAGTTGTGAGTGGAGATGACGCACTATCTCGGTTAGGCCTCACGGTAGTCTTCCGCGTTTCGGTGCTCTATTACTGTGCTCATGAACGACGCTGTCCACGGTCATACTGCAGTGGAGTAAGCGGACAATACTCAATGAGATCACGTTCTCCTTGGTATGACAGAGTTTATTCGAAGCGCTGCACCTGTGTTGGACCCTTGCTGCGTTGCACCCAACGGAATTAACGCTCAAGATCTTCACCGAGCAAGCCACAGAACATGCGGCAAGCAGGTAGCCGCAACCGATGACACCTCTCACTAGGACTAGCTGCATTTCACTCGTTCTTACTTAACGTTGGCCTCTGTAGCTGCCATCTATGGCGCTGTTGCGTTCTACCCTCCCCCGGATTCAAGCCATTCGAGGCAGCCCGTTATCCCCGGACACCCATGTGGACGGACTATCCACATGCCAACATTATTAGCTTGACAGCATTCGCTTCGCTGTTTCCGACAAATACGTTATAATTGCTTTGTACAACCGAGTGACGCACGACTCAGCGGTGACGCATAACATATAGCGAATTCGTTACCCTCTGAGCTCATACAATCTCTACAAGCCACCAACATGACGCAGCCAGAACCACCAGGATTGTATCGCCATCCGACAAGAAGCGAGATCATCGACCTCGCCGCAGCAGAAGGCCACGATGCAGATATCCCAAGCAACCTCGGCTCGATACACCAAGTGCCTAGCCATACATCGGAAAGGCGGCACTCATTAGACGAGAAGAAGGGTGAATACACAACTGGCGAAAGAGATGTTGAAAAGGGAAACGGCTCAGGCTCAATCTCCAGTGCAGACCAACCCGATGCAGAAGAGGAACCTGAACGCGATCCGAATGTCGTCGACTTTGACGGTCCTAACGACCCAGAGAACCCAATGAACTGGAAAGCGTCCAAGAAATGGGGCATGGTCGCGCTGATCTCAGCTATCACGTTCCTAACGCCTCTTGCGAGTTCGCAGTTTGCACCTGGTGTGCCGGAGGTTATGCGCGACTTCAACTCGACGAGCGATCTACTTGAAGGCTTCATGGTGTCCGTTTACGTTTTGGGTTTCGCGTTTGGGCCATTGATCATCGCACCGCTTTCGGAGATGTATGGTCGGCTGCCACTGTATCATAGCTGCAATTTGCTGTTCATTGTGTTCACGATTGCGGCTGCAGTGGCGAACAATATGGCGCAGTTTGTTGTGTTCCGATTTCTCATGGGCTGCTTTGGAGGAGCGCCCATGGTACTTGGTGGAGGGACTATTGCGGACTTGATACCACGAGAACAACGCGGTACTGCCATGGCTGTCTGGATGATGGGTCCGACGGTAGGGCCTTGTGTCGGTCCAATCATCGGTGGGTTCTTGACAGTAGCAAAAGGCTGGCGGTGGGACTTCTGGTTCGTCGCTATAGTGGGCGGCGCGTTCTTCATCATGTCACTCATTCTGATGAGCGAGACATCTGGCATCATCATTCTGCAACGGAAAGTCAACCGCCTCAAAGCCGAGACAGGGAACACAAAACTACGCTCCAAGCTGGACAGTGGCCTCACTCCACGCCAGCTCTTCAAATTTTCGATCATTCGACCAGCCAAGATGTTGTTCCGCTCAACTATCTGCTTCGCCATCTCTCTCTACATTGCGATTACATACGCCTATCTCTACATTCTATTCACCACCTTCACTGCGGTGTTCAAAGGACAATATGGCTGGCATGGCGGTATTACTGGTCTCTCGTTTCTCGGTCTCGGCATTGGCTCCCTCATCGGACAATTCACCTACATCCACTACGGTAACAAAGTGGTACACAAGCACATGGCACGCGGCGACTTCCGACCTGAACATAGACTGAAAATGATGTGCGTCGGCGGCTTCTTCATTCCTTGCGGTCTCTTTATCTACGGCTGGAGCGTGCAATACCAGACGCACTTCATGGTACCCATTGTTGCAACAGGTATTATTGGTTTCGGTCTGCTGATGACGTTCATGCCTGCGACTACGTACTTAGTCGACGTGTTTACTGTCCATGCGGCCAGCGCCATGGCGGCGAGTACAGTGTTGCGTAGTGTTGCAGCAGCCTTTATCCCACTGAGTAGTCAGACGATGTATGCGCAAATGGGCTACGGTTGGGGCAACACTATGCTGGGGTTCATCGCTACGTTACTGATCCCGATACCATTCTTGTTCATCAGGTACGGAGAGAACATCCGCGCTAGAAGTACAGTCAAACTATGAACACATGCTATGAACTGTAGACTTAGATAGACTCATGTACAATAGCAAACCAAGTTCTATGCCTTGGTCTTGACAAAGGGCTGCGATTCGGTCATGATCCTCGACTCCCGCTAACTGACTCGTATAGGCTATATGCAGCCTCGGTGTGTACTCCGAAGCCCCACCCAAGGTCTTGCTGAGCAACATTGGAAATACGACGTCAATAGAACCCTGGCCGCGTCTTGCCATAAGTAGAAACCCGGAAGTAAACATTGGTTCCGCAAGTGTTTTATCAATCCATGGATCGCTCTGGTTGAACCTTAGTCTCCTACATCAACACGCGACTCGCTCCGCCGCTCACGGAAAGTAAGAGCTACTTCACTATGGCATCCTCACTACCAGAGTCCAACACATCTCTCACATATACGCAACCTTCATCTCAACCACATCTTACACATACACCCATACCGAAGCCAGGTCCCCAAGAAGTCCTGGTGAAAATCAAAGCCGCAGCTATCAACCCGGTCGACATCCAACTATGGGGAAACCCCGTCATCGGCTGGCTAGCAGGCAAGAAGGAGAAAGGAATAGGACGCGACTACTCTGGCGAAATCGTGTCGATGGGCGAAGAAGCAAGTAAGAGTGGGAAATGGGAGGTTGGTGACGAAGTCTTTGGATTGTGTAATCGACCTGTAAGTCAAGCTTTCGCCTGACACGGCTTTCGGTTCGTGACGAAATACGCTGGGACTGATGTATAATAGATGGCAGAAGGAACATTTACACAGTATCTCTCCATCAACCCAACCTCAGAGCCCATCGCAAAGAAACCCACTACCCTTTCCCACCACGAAGCCGCCGCCATCCCTCTCGTAGTCCTAACAGCCTTCGCCTGCCTCGACTGGCTCCCCTCCACTACCAACTCCCCATCCCCCTCCCAACGCCGCGTCATCGTCTCAGGCGCCAGCGGCGGCGTAGGAATGTGGTGCGTGCAACTTGCCAAAAAGCTCTATTCCTGCCACGTAACCGGCATCTGCTCCGGCTCCAACGTCGATTTCGTGCAATCCCTCGGAGCAGACGAAGTCATCGATTACCGCACACAAGACGTGCCCAACTCGCTTCTTTCCAAACGGCCCGGCGGCACGAAATACGATTTGTACATTGACTGTGTGGGCGGTACGGAGATGTTTGCGCATTGGAATGAGCTTCTTCATCCGTCGGGCGCGTATATTACTATTGTGGGGGATAAGACTTCGAGGACGGCGATGGGCGGGCCGTTGACGTATTTTACGTATCCGTCGCAGGTGATGAGACATGTTTGGGGGTACTTCTTTGGGCCGAGGTATGCGAATGTGATCTTGTATCAAAAGAGTGAGTTGCTGGAGCAGGTCAGGGAGTTGGCGGAGAAGGGCGAGGTAAAGGTTGTAGTGCAGGATGTCGTTAAGGGAATCTTGACAGAGGAAGGATGTAAAGAGGGGTGGGAGAAGGTCAAGGGGTACATGGTTGAAGGCAGGGTTAGGGGGAAGATTGTTGTTGATGTTGCGTAGATTTTATCTTACCATCGGATTTGATCAGTGTACCGGACTAGCGAACGAAGTGTAACGATCAATTAAAGCAAATTACCATCTATGTACTATTGGGTGTATCACGCCGGGTATCAAGGGGGGTAATGAGACGCTTGAGCACGTATGCTCAGACGTTATAACGAGAGAAAGAACTGTAAAGGAAAAAATGTTGACAGATCCATCAGGAGATCCTCACAGAAAGGCGACGCAGATATAAACCTTGCTCCTTGCCAGAAAACTCCAGCCCGCAACTAGCCCCTACCCAGCTGTTTGTCGTGAATCCATAATCCAGTCGTCCGAGTCGTCACCGTAGAGCTCCCATTACCCAGGTCGTTCAGTCGTTGCCGTGAGACAATCAGTTGTATTTCAGGAAAGTCGTGGGCTCCTGCGATGTGGCGGCTGCAGCAGGAAACCTGGCGTCGCCGACGGTTGTCTTGGGATATTCACCCGGGACATGCAGGTCGCTAACGCTGATGTCGGTGTTCATCCGCTTGCCCATGCCAGGGTGCGCCATCTCCTCTGCAGTATCCACGAGGCCCACTGGGACGGGCCCGCCGTTGACAGTCTCGCCGAAGGCAGGTGCCCCTACCTCAGACTCGCCTAAAAAAGACGAAGTAGCTCCTGGTGTATCCAACCCACTTACATGCTGGGATTGAGTGTGGCCATCAAAGACCGGCGCAACGATCGGAGCAGGGGTTGGCTGCACAGCAGGGGCGACGTAGCCTGTGTCGTCGATTTGGTCGGGGAGGATATGGTCAGGATGCCGCTCGGGGACTTGCGTAGGGGTGGCATCTGGGAAGTCTACCGCGCGAGATTGTTCGACTGGGTATTGCTGCTCTTGGTTGAGCTGCTGGGCCTCGTAGTGTTGTTGCGCCAATTGTTTTTTCTGCAATGCTTCGTTTGCAAGGGCTCCGGTGGCTGCACCCCCAACAGCAGGCGCCAACCAGTTGCCGTAATGAGTACTATCTTTACGTTGGATAGGCTCAGCCTGTGCCAGGGATGGCTGGTTGTACTGGTCGACCGAAGTTGGCTGGACAGGGTAAGCCTGAGAAACAGGGGCGTATAAAGGGTTGTCGACAGTCTGAGGGGCGTATGACTGCTGGGCTGGTGTGTATGGATTTGCGAAGCTGGCCTGCTGTTGGTATTGAGCGGGTTGGGTGTACTGGACGGGCTGGACGGGCTGGACGGGCTGAGCTGGTTCGGGCTGGTAGGCTGAGGTTTGGGCAAGATACATCGGGTGCACATCCTGTGTCGGACCTCCAGACATGGTGTTTAGATCATTGCCGATCTCTGAACTTCCGCTAGAAGGCGATAAAGGCGCTTGTAAGTTACGGTTGACCATCAAATCAGACGGGAATCGCCCACCTGGAGAAGGTCGGGAAGGTCGCTCAGACTGATCCCGGTAGGCCTGTTCCTTCATGGACTGGTTGGCTGAGAAAGGAACCGCGTCTGCCTCGTCTTCCTCTAGTCCGCCATCCGAGCTGGCTGAACGGGCGCTGCCAGCGCTGGTACTCCTGACGCTTGCATGGCGACGGACAAAGGCGTTGCGCTCTTCTCCACTCTTCTCAGTCAAGGCCTTGATATCTTCAAACCATGCGACCATGGTGTCGTACGTCTCCGCCCGGAAGACCCAAGTATGGCCACGATGCATGGATCCAGCCTGACGGCCTTTAATAACGAACTTGTGGGAGGAACTTCCGGGCTGGGAGCGAGAACCAAGCTTCTGGTCTGGTAGATATAGGGACATGACTGGAGGCTGAGTGTAGATGCGGTCGGCCGATTTGAACTCGTGGAGATGCGTTGGCGACAAAACATACCTGAAAAGTGTTAGACTGGGAAGGTTGTCAAGATTGTGTTGCTTACCATCCTGGTGTGTACGACTTGAGATACTTGCTCTTCCGCTCGAGCATGCCCGCTCTGACCTCGGTAGTAGCAGGGTGGTGCTTTCCGGGGTACTGGATGTCTTCCAGTCTGCGCAATGGCATGTCTGGGTTGACGAAGTGAGGGTCGCTTCGCACAAACCTGCTCCATTCGAGATCGCGCGGCATGGCAATCGGACCATTGCGCAACCGCTCTACCGTGTTGTACTGCTCATCAGCATCGCGCTTCAAGATGGTAGCAAGAGCGTTGTAGGCTTTCTGGACTTCGCCAACAACGATCGACTCGAGTTCGCGGCCGGAGTTTTCGAGGTTGAGGTAAGCCTGTATACGTTAGTTGAGTCGCTTCTACGCGTGCAACAACTGACCCTGTGGAGGTAGTTCTCCTCATCAATCTGCCTCTCCACCTGGCGCTCGACACCCAGACGCACAACATAGGGATCTCCCTTGCCTGCAACTGCCGTGGGGTCGGAGTCGGCCAAAGCCAGCGCCTCCTCAAGTGCTGTTACACACTTCCTTGTGGTCTCCTTTTCCTTCTCGACGTTGTTCTTGAAGTCGCCAGACAGTGACTTGATCTCCTTGATCTTCTGCGCAAGATCAGCCCGGAGGCCGCTGAGCTGGTTGATGACGTCGGCCTCAACGTCCCGCGCCTTGTTGGCCTCGAGGATGGCTTGCTTGTGGAAATCGCGGAGGATGCGGTTGGCGTCGTTTAGGCCTCCTTCTATGAGGAGAGCGGCGGGGGCATTGGTGTTGTTGATCACGTTTGAGACTTTCAACAACGATTTGGCGCGGTGCTCGTATGAGGATGCGACCTCGCGGAAGTAAGTGATGAGGTCCTTGAGAAACTTTCGCCAAGCTGTCAGATGTCAGTACGTTTCACAAATCTGTCACGTGCCCAACATACTCTGGAAGCGTTCTGCTAGTATCTCGGTGGGTGTGCCCTTGGTAGGCACAGGAGTGTAGAAGACACTGTCCTCGCGGTCATAGCCATGCTCCTGGTCGTCAATGGTCACGCCGCGTATCGAGCCCGCATGCATGGATCTCCTGCTTCCACTACGCTTCATGCTGCTTGCCCTCTTGACAGAGTTCTTCTTCTTGAGCGTGCCACTTCGCGAAGGGGTTGCGCCCTGGTTCAAGGTGGAGGAGCGCGAGGACGAGCGCTGGTGCATATCACCCTCGAGGACGGATGAACCTCGTGTGCGCGCATCGAAGTCCTCCTCGAACCGCCCCAGACGCGAGCGCTCATTTGGCGCGCTTAGTGGTGAGTTTCCAAAGTCATTTACAGCAGAGGTGCCGTAGCCGCGGCTGAGATGGGCCGGGTCGTCGATGTGCGGTACGGGGTCGTAGGAGGCCGACGGGGTGACTGGGCGCTGGGTCGCCATGGTGGGAGCTGCCTGGTCGTGGATATTGGCTGCGGCGACGGTAAGGTAGACCCTGACGAATATATGTAAGAAGACGTTCGCAAACAACTGCAACCCTGAGCCGCGTTCGCTGTGGCTGGCGATGACGTGTGGGGTCGCGCTAAGGGGTGAGATGCCTCGGAGGGGTCGAGGCGCAGATTGCGAGAGCCCGAACCGACATGGCGCCGCAGATCAATCAATACTTACTGCTCGGAGTGGAATTGTGTCGCAAACTGCTCAATTTGGTGGATTTAATGTGAGCCTGAGGGTGCTTGTGATGTCGAGAGGCAGATGCCGGATGTGAAGAATAAAACCATGGCCATCCGCGGCGGCTTCGCGGCACTGAAGAGGCTCACAAAGATGCTTAGGTGATGTCATGTTCCCTTCAATGCTACGCCCTCAACACCATCCGGACATGATCGTCATCGTGCAGCAGTGCCCGACCCTTGAATCGTCTTAGTCTGTGGCGCGGCTGTTACACTTCGGCCTATCATGACTTGCTTGCATTTCCATCCATTGCGCCGTTACTTGCGCCCGTCACATCGAATGTCCTAGCAGCTGTCACATGCAGGCTCGCGGAACACGTAGGCGACACAAGGGGGGCTTCGTGGCCTGCCAACTTCTTCACTTTGACAATCTTGGTCTCGATAAAGCTTCTCGGTGACTTTGCAGCCGCATCGTCCGTCGCCACTTCCATCGCCGCTGGCCAAACACGTGGAGATTCAATGTGGGGAGAGCACAGCCGAACGTGCCGACCCAAGTCTGCCCAGCGATTTGCATTCATCCTTCCGCAGATCAATGCAGCACGGCGGCAATGCCGAAATCCTTTCTTCCTCCGTCTTGCTGCGAGCTGCGCGTCTCTCGTGGGACCTATCCCATTTTTTCCAGGGGTCCTCTCGTATCCAACCCTCTAACACTAGTTGGACCCCGTAGCAGCACTAGCCTACCACGAAGTAACCCAGCGGGAAGCATTGCGGGCTGCACTGCCCCTTTGCCGTCATTGGTTATCTCGGGTATTTTCTAAAGGGCGAAGATGCAGTATGTCTGTGTTGATGTATCACAGCTGTCCCGCGTACTCAGGTACAACTTCAATGGCCAGCCCAATCAAGACCAGGACAATGCGATAACGAGAGAGAGATATCCAGTCCGGTGCCGCACTTTTTCATTGACGACTTGTCCAGTACTCGGGTCCGCAGCTCTTTATTTCACTCCAGTCGATCGACAGCTACAATAAGAGTTGGATGCCAGACATTGAAGCATGCTTTCGAAGGGAAATGGAACACCCATCTTAGTACATAGCCCAGAAGTGTACATTGCTTCAGGATGTTCTCAACTTTGGTTTGTTGTACTCATGTATTCTGCAGTGCAGCTGTGTAGTTTCTTCCTGGTAAAAGGCGGAAGCACTTAGTCTTGCAAAGAGAAGGGCTGAAGAGGTAAGATACGGGCGTGGTCAATACGCTGCATTGAGTAGGCATGAAATGAATGAAGTGAAAGCAGTAGCGAGGTGTCACAAGATCATTTGCATGCCACAACGGGGCGTCAGGCACAGCAACAGTGCGGTGCGCTATGGAAGCAATGATAGCCAGAGCCCTAATTTGAGGATGTGAGGAAGGCTGTCGATGTTCTCGTTAGTCTTTTCCACCCTGCTTCTGTGTGAGTAGCAGAGTGAAATTTTCAATTTATGATCTGATTTTACATTCACCAC